CTGCCTCTCGGATACAGCCGGACAACCCAGGCTTTTAAGGATCCATGGGATCACTGGTTCTCCCTTACTGCCCTAGGTTCCTTTCGGGATTGGCTTGCTTGCATTCCCCCACTAACGCTAGGGCTCGACGTGCATGGTTTGACGAGTCGTGCGGGCCGCACTGGTACCTCTGTTTACTGCATGGGCAAGAGGGGGAAGAGAGCAGGGCGGCGCAGACGGCCGCGAGACACGGAGAGGGAGGCCCGTAGGCCCCCCAAGCGAATCCGTGCAGTGGGAGCTGAAGAAGCTGCCAGTGACTCATCATACGAGAGCTCGGATGACATTGGCTATGGAGTGGGATCTGCCCGACCGCTTACAGTGTTTTCAGGCGGTGCTGTCAGTGGGGCTGCCAGTGGGGCTCCGATCACCACTCCAACCTCTAGCGTCCAACTTTCAGTTTCTGGACCTCGTGCAGAGGATGTCGACCAGGCCTTTGATGTCAGTGACCTCCGCGTCGAAAGATCTCCAGAAGAGTTCATGGCAATAGCTACAGCTTTAGGGCGGAATTATGCCGCCCCAACATCAGTTACAGCTTCAGCCTCAACCCGTACCGCGCCTGCGCCTCGACCTTCAATGCTCCAAGCCATCCCGACAAGGAGTCACACCGGTGACCGACACTGGCCTGCAGGAGCGTTGCCACCTCGTCAACCACCTCGTCAACGACCCCTGGAGCCTTCAACTCGCTCTCATACGAGGTTGGAACTAGCCGAGACCCGGCCGGTGACGAAGGCTGCGGCTGATCACAGACTGACGACGCGCCCCACTTCGTTTCCGAAGTCCTCTTTTGCACATGATCGCGGGGATCCCTCAGTTGATACAGCTGCCAGCCGATCTGGGGTCAGCCTGAAGGCACGTAGGTTTCCGGTCCCGGAAATTCATTTCCACTCGGCGATTGGTGGCGCTGGGGCACGCCAAGGCGAGTACTCAGCTGGCGCGCAGATCCCGGCTGAGCCGCTCGACGAGGTGAGATCGGTACGGCCTTTTGCCAAACCTACACCCAAGGTACGTGGAAGAGGGCGGCCTGTCACTGCTGTTTCTGTCGCTGAAGCGGAGACTTCGGATGTTCCTGCAGCTGCTGCAAGGACGGATCACATTCCCCCTACCGCAGAGGCTGCATTAGGTTCCACGAGGAATGATGTGACTGATCCAGCGTTGTCTGAGCCAATGCCACCCGAGGCTGCGTACAGTATTGCAGGCACCATCGCTGCACCTGAGTCTACTGGCCAGATTGGAGAGGATGTCGCACCGTCTCAGCCGACAGTGTGGACTATGCCAGCTCCGGACGCCCCAGTGGCGGAGGCCACATCCGAAGAGGATGACGAGGATGACGACGATGACGCTGAGTTATCACGGCTGCGTCGTCGGGGGGACTTGCCGGTCCGTGTGAATACCTCCACAGGCCTGCCGTCTGGGGTAGCTCCGCTGAAGCGTGATCGGGCTACTGGTAGAATACGGGTGATTCGGCCTCCTGGTTATCGTCTCGCCCATGGCGGGCGCACCATTGCTGTCGACGATAGCTTAGCTGTGTACCTCGACGAGCTCAGTGGATTCAACAGACGTCCGAGCGATGCGCAGCCATACATGCAGGGCGGGGCTGCACATGCATCTAGGTTTGTCCTGGGATCTTTTAGCAAACCCCGCTTAGTATCTGCTCGCGCTCCTCGCGATGCACTAGCTGTGTCGCGCCCCCTGAGAACGTCCATAGCTCTAGACTCCCTGGTAGACTTGCTTCCTCGCGGGATCAACCGTGCAATACCGTCCACCACCAGACTGGAATGCCTCCCACGGCCTGGCAGGCGTCTTCACGAGCCACGCGAGTGCAGGTGCCCCATTCAGTCTTTTTCGGTTGAGTTCAGGTTTGTATTCCAACTCGCATGTGGGGTCAACAATGATGCTGTATCGAGATGCTGGCGCTCTGGGGGGGCGTCGCCTGCCTCCCACTCTACACTGTTGGAACCTGCATGGGATTCTCAGTCATCACACCACTGTGGCCCCCGCCAATGCCATATGCGATCAGGTTGCCCAAGCTATTGCACTGGCACCGCTGCTTCGCCAGGCTGCCCCACCGTGTATCTACCCCGCTGGGAGCAGCCCAGGCCATCCACTCAGCGCCTTGGTGTGTACAGAGCGGGATACAGTCATCACTCGAGCGAACCCCCCCCCTCCCCACAGTGGCATATTCAGGCAGATACCCGACCCTTCCTGTGGCATATACCCACTCTGCTAAAGCATAGGTCCTCTTGTCGACACCCGTGGGCCGGGCGACCTTGCCGCGCCAGTTCAATCCGTGCTCGAAGCGCCGCCCTTGGCAGGCCAACCTATACCTCACGGTGCAAGCTACATGTTCATCTGCCGAGTAACGCCCTAGCTCCCATCACATATCACTTCTGGGATTTGTGGACTGCCTGCGCTTACACCTTTGCCGGCCACTTGACAGGTGACCTGCTCCGAGGGACGATGGTCTACAACATGCCAGGCTCTCACCTCCAGGGTTTATGTTTCTTCCCGCGCAGCGAACAACGCAGATCTGCATTGCACGACACAGACACACCTCAGTCATTATATACTTGCACTCTTATTCAGTGCCACCCCCGACAAGGCACCAGCAATCATGATAGGGAGCACTTGGTTCTCCCATACCGTATGCAGGGCTCTCCCGGTCCCAAGTCCGGGAGGTGTAGTCGCCAGGCCAGCTGCCGATTTCTTTCCACTCTCGGAATGCTACTCTTGCACACGCAAGCTGCTGGAGCAACTACTACACCAGACGCGAGGGTTCCACCGGCTTCCCAGGTCGGTGGTGAAGCGGGGAGATCCACTCCCGCTCCACGACAGGCTCCCGCGAAGCCTCTGGGAACACGGGGAGCGACTTGCGTGTCGCATCCACCATCCCTCCAAAGACAGCGAATTGTCAAACGCTCTCTCATGCGTGTGCATCGGCGCATCCTGCGCACAGGTGGAGCCTGGTACAAGGGCCGCTGGTACGATCAGAACACTGTCTCGGCCTTACAGCAGCCACTGTCTCTGCACTCCTCGGAGTTTACCGGCTCTTTCACCCCGCGCCGATCACACCCTTCCCAATCTTCCCGACCTGTTCCCACGCCCGACACCCTTCCCCAACGACTCAATGTCTACACATGGAACGTGGGCAGCTTAGGTGGAGGACTGTATGACGAAATCTTGATACACATTCATCAAAACCCGGTTGATGTTCTCTTGTTGCAAGAAACCAAATGGCGCTTCAGTAGTTGCTGGGACACCAATCAGTACTTTTTCATACACAGTGGCTCCGCGACCAAAGACTTTAAGCAAGGGGGCTTACTCACAGTTATTTCTAAAAAGCTGGTGGACCAGGGTTCCCTACGTTATGTGGAGCCCCTACCCGGACGCCTGCAACGCGTGCAATTCAGCCGCAGGTCGCAGCCTTGTGATCTGATTAACTTTTACCAGCATGCCTGGCACGACACCGACCATACTCGCTCACTGCGACACCAAGCTCTGGACAGCCTCACCAGGGTCATTCAGCAAGTTCCCAAACGCAGTCTTTTGAT